CTGACATTTTTATTGATGTGAAATTTATGAATGTGGTAATAAGAGTAAACATTTCATTTGCATTTTTTTATTCTCAGTTTATCATGGAAAAACGATTTCATTGGGAAGTTAAGTTAGCTTTTTTTCAACCGCTGTTCGGTTTGGCGTTTCAGTGGAATGTTCCAGGATGTATTTTACTTGCGTTTGTATGTTTTTTTTATTCAATATTTTGATGGCTGGCTGTAAGACAATAGATTCCGACGATGTGGATATAGTTATTAATTGTTACAAAGGAATATTTAAGAATGTGCGTATTCCACATTAGGACTTTAGTATGTTGGTATGTTATGAGAAGTTGGTAACCGTGTTTTAATATTTGAAATATGGTTGTATTCAAAGTTTCTGAACTAGTTAAACACGTTTGTATTTAAATGTACAAATCGTAAGTAGGTTTTCCATTAATCGCTCTTTCCACTTATCTGTGCCGCGTCCCGTTCTTGTCTGTTAATTGAGGTTAGCCCAGTTGACAATCTACAATGTAACGCTAATAGAAAACTATAAATATTTACTTTGAAATGTGTTATTTTTAATAATTTTTATAGTTTTTACTAGAATAATCAATTGTAGAAAGCAATATGACTCATTCCGCACTATCGTTAGCAACGCTTCCGTGTACAGGTGACATTTTGATGCTATCGGCAAATTGGCGCTCGTTATAAGTACTAGTACGTACGCGAGGACGTGCGCGTGTGTGTGTGCGCGTTTACGTGTTCATGTGTGGACGTGTGCGGCGTAACGTTTACGTGTGTGTGTGCATGCGGATATGTATACGTGTGCGTGTACATGTAGGCAATATCGCGGCGCGACGCGTGTGTGTATGTGTGTGTGTGTGTACGTGTGTGTGTGTGTACGTGTGTGTGTGCGCGTGTGTACTCACGTGCGCGCGCGCGGCGCACTCGGCGGCGGCGTGGCGGTGCGCGCGCGCGGCGAGCTCGCGCTGGCGGCAGCGCAGCGCGCGGCGGCGCAGCGCCCAGCCACGCTCGAGCGCGCGCCAGTCGCCTGACAGCCGCCGGCACGCCGCCGCGTACTCGCGCTCCATCGCCGTACGCTCCTGACACCGAACACGCTCACCCTCATCACCATTATACATACTTAAGTCTTTTTTGGTCTTTCGAGCCAGATTTGTATAAGCAGATCTGGCTCGAAGGACCAAAAAAGGAATTTGTTTGATTTGCGCTCCTTTTTGTGATTGAAGAGAAGAATTGAAGTATTTATTGATATAAATATAATAACTATAACAATGATATTAGAAATGAGTGCATACGGCGCAATTTATGACTTATTACGTACTGTCCGCAATTCGAACGAATATCGCGTAAAAAAAACAAAGTAATCTACCTTATTGGACAACATCAGTTATTATTTTTATTTTAAAACGTTAACAGGAAAATGCTGTCGCCCATTTCCTATTTCAATTACCCTCTAACGCCTATTACGTCACCCACTTGATAATATGGAGTACTAGGTTCTCTAACATCTGTAATACCCAACGCACATGATTCACGTAAATTATTTTAAATATAACCAGACTAAATACAGCTCGCTTTAATAATATTTTTTTTTATAAAAGTGAGAGTGACAAATGAGCACACAGTCCAACTAAAGAAATATATATATAATAAAAAGTATGTAAGTAATAGTACTGTTACAGCCTATTAAAGTCCACTGCTGAAAATAGGCCTCCATCATAGATTGCCTCGTAGGAGGGATATTTGCCATAGTTGCCACGCTTGGCAAACGGGTTGGCAACCGCAGTTTATTATTTTTAGTCGTTATTAAGAAGACGCTGCTGCCCATTTCCTGATTTCTTGCCCTCTGTCGCCTCTTACGACACCCACGGGATGATATGGTGTAGTAGGTATTCTTACACCGCCACTACACGGTGAAAATAATTGTTAGTGGATATGTGCGATGGACAAAGTGTCCCGAAACTCATATCAACCTTGGGAAAAATAAAAGTAAAATTTCATATCAGTTAGTGCATTTACACTATACTAACAAATTTATGAGGAAAATCGACACCTTAAAGCATCATTAAATATTGTGACCACAAATTTCTCAATTTTACAGTGATTTTTTCATTGACGTGGTCTTAATTAAACGTGCTATTAATCTCAGTCACAAATCAAGAAAAAAAAGTTGCTAGATTAGTTAACTACTACTAACGTAGTTTCTTTTAATCGTAGTTGAAAAAATATGATCACCTGACTTTGACTCTCTATTAAAAAAAACATACTGGACTACCCTAAGCAAGTTATTTCAAAAGATGGCCCATTTATCCTAGATTTCAAAATGAAATTACATCATTTTTAAATCTAAGTATAACTTTTCATCCTCAAAAAATAAAGTTAATTAGATAATATAATTATTATTATAATATCATTATATTATTATAATTATAATATAATAATAAAATAGAAATAAGTCATAAAATCAAAAGAGTTCCACAACACATTTTCATCTATTAAATATTGAATTCAACAAGTGCAAATGAGACAGGAATGTTTTTGTATAAAACAGTTAATGACGCCATTTAATGTGACTTAGAGCGAGACAGGTAGAGATACTATTTGATATTCGACCAAATTATGTTAGATTAGTTTAAAAAAAAGCAATTATATCAATAAATTAGGAGTCAAAGTCAAAATATTTTATGTTAAGTTAAATAATGTTCAAATTGTTTGCATTCAGGTTGAATGCAGGCTCCCCTACTTCCCTTCCTTGTACTCACCTCGTCCAGTTTCTTCTGAGCCTGCAACAGCTGTTCTTTCTCCTCGTGCCAGCGCCGCTGCCGCTCCTGCTGCTGCAGCAGGAACTGCTGGCGCTCGCGTTCCAGCTCCGCACGCTGCGCTTCAATACGTTCGCACTTGATCTCGCTCTCCAGGTCGCTGTAACAAATGCGTATAGACGGCTCGGTGGCGAAATGGCTAAGTATTAGGTTGTAGCGCTAAACGCCATAGGTTAGGTTCCGAATGCAACAAGTGTTTGTATGGCCTACGAATATTTTTTCCGAGTCTAAATTTTGTCCATGTACTTTTTTTTTTATAGACAAGCGGGCAAACGAGCATGCGGCTCACCTGATGGTAAGTGACTACCGCCGCCCATGAACAACCGCAACACCAGTAGAATTGCAGATGCGTTGCCGGCCTTTTAGAAAGGTGTAAGCTCTTTTCTTGAAGGTCCCTAAGTCGTATCGGTCTGGAAAATTCGCTGGTGGTAATTGATTCCACAAGGAAGTTGTGCGAGGGAGAAAACTTCTTCTAAATCGCACAGTGGTGGGCCGCCAATCATCCAGATGGTATGGATGGTAACGCGAGTTTTGTCGCGATGTGCGATAGTGAAATTGAGCGGCTGGAATGAGTCCGAACAATTCCTCAGAGCACTCCCCGTGATAGATGCGGTAAAATACGCAGAGATGCAACATCTCTACGCAGTGCCATTGTATCGAGTCGATCAGAAAGAACTCGGTCGTCGACGATTCGAACCGCTCTGTGAACCGCATGTACAAATAATGTATGTGAAAATTCTTGTGAGAAAGTTCAGGGGCTTTTTTTATAGGATAGGGTGACAATCGAGCACACAGTCCACCTGATGGTAAGTGGTTGGTGTGGCCCATAGACATCTACATCTATCCTCGCTTGCAAATCAAAATGCAGATGCGTTGTCACCCGTGAGGACTAAGATGGAATGCCTCTTTGCCAGTAAAAAGGGTCTCCGTTTCTCTACCCACCATACGAAACTATACTACTAATATAGCTGCAGCATGGCTCTACCACGTATAAAACGCTAGTCGCTTTTTGTTGTGCGCAAGCAACCAGAGTTTAACATCCACCGTCTCCACTGAAAATATCATATTCATTTATCACGTTCGTAACAGAGAAGAATTACAACATGAGACATGACTAAAAATTTCGAAATACTTCAAGAACAGCCAATTCAACCTAAAGCAGCACACGGCAGACAATTTATTTCTTCATAATCTTCTCATAAATGAGACCATCATGGACCATAATTTAAGAAAAAAATTCTGTGAATAAAACTAAATGATAAGAATGAAAACTAAATGTCCACGCCTCATGAGCATTACATTTAATTTTGATGAAAAAAATTAATTACCAAAATGAATCGATATGGGCTGTATGGTACTTACACATTTGTTCTTTAACTATCAAGAGCTAAAGAAGAAAATGAACGCGCTTTTAAATTTTTAATAACAATTAAATTTATAAAACTTGAAAATCATTTTACTAGCAAATGACGTGTCCTAGGCTATATGGTATGAAATAGGGAACCAGTTGACGTAATTCTGAAGCTAATAAAAAAACCCGGTTTCGATACGTCAATTTTTTCGGGAGTTATCGTGACCACATACGAAATCAACATCCGGACGTCCACGTAAAAATTTTTTAAACCGTTTTTTATCAATGTAGTAATATAAAATGATTTTTTAGAAATTATAAGATGGATTAATTAGTGTTTTATTGGTATACGGGTACTCGTATTATCGTGTAAGTGCAATATAGTTATGATAGAGGCATTTTAAGACCACAAAACTCCTTGACCTTGACGTGTCGAGAGTAACACCACATGAGTAAATAAACGAAACAGAGATAAAGCTTCATACAACAGCACGAATCGGTTGCACTGCTGCAAGCACGCGGAGCATGTGTGCGTGACCACTGGCCGCTTGTCGTGTACGCGGAATTACTGGAAAAATCCAGTTAGTCAGGGTCAGTGCGACGCACGTTGTTAGTTTTGTTATTTGCAAGTTTGAATATTTTATTGTAAAAACGTGGTATTATTAATAATGTTTGTCTATTGTACTGTGTGTATGAATAATACTAGAAAAAAAATATATATCATACTTTAACTATCCCAAGGATTACAATAGGTAAGTAAATATTTGATTATTACTTTTTCAAGTAAGTACCTTTATTTTATTCTATGATCCTTTTTTTTTTAATTAGAAGAGGGTACTACATGGTGTGTTTTTACCTTTTTATTGTTATTACAAGCTTTTACTAAACATTTGTAGGTATGTGGGTGGGGTAGGTAGTAGTAGGTATGTGTGTTAAGTTCACATATTGCAAGTAAGATTTGAACCACTTCCCGATGTCTGAGTTGAAATTTTGTATACCGTAACTTCAGTTCATTGTGGCAACCCTACCAAAATAGTTAACAATTTTGCACGATCTTAAGAAGCCTTATCTCTGCTCCGTTATCTGCTCGTGTGGCAATATACTACCTAATAACGCTTCGCGTTATGAGGCGTGCAATAGGTTTCATCCTACTTATAGCGGTTTTGTGTTTGATTAGCTCTAAAACGAAGTCACTCGTTCTTCTGCTTACAGATCAAGGTCACTTGGATATATATTTTCAACAGTAAGCTGCTATGGTCGCTGCTGGTGAATCCGGACGGGATCAGAGTTATGTAACAATTGACGTGAACAGCAGAACTACATACAGTTGTTAGTTTCTTGCGGTTACGACTGCTGAACTAGGACAGCAGAGAAGTGCAACAAGTTAGCAGCAGCACTCACGAAAACCTGTTGTTTATATTGCTACTGATGTACTATGTAAGCCTAGTACTATGAAACCGTGTAGTGGCGGTGTAAGAATATTAATTACGCCATGTCGTCCTATGGATGTTGGTCGTTACAGGCGACAGAGGACAACTGAAACAGGAGATGAGCAGCAGCATATACCTGAAAACAACTCAAAATAAAAAATGCGGTTGTCAACCGGCTTGCCAAACAAGGAAACTAAGGCAAAATTCCTGCTATGAGGCAATCTGTGGGAGAGGCCTATCTTTAGCAGTTGACTTTTATAAGCTGTAATGGATGAATGGAGGGATGGACTAGGAGAGTAGTGCGACAAGTCACGTTGACAGCAGTACTCACGACAGCGTGGTGTTGAGGTTCTCTGTGCTGGCGGCGAGGTCGGTAGTGGACCAGGAGAGCAGTGACAGCCGGGAGAGGTTCATAACAGACGCGCTGCCTTCCTGTCGGAGTTTGGCCGCTTCTGCCGGGTCGTTGTAACGGAACATGTTCGTACGTCCCAGCAACAATATGCAACCTGAAGCGTTATAAATAAATAAAATTACAATTAATTTTATTTATTTAGTATAGATAGAAAACATTCATAGGCACAGTAGAGATAATACATAAAAATATTGGATAAGGAAAAGCACAAAATAAAATGAAATTAGAAACAGCTCATCAAAATTGTAAGTAATGTTTGTGCTATATTTTTATATAATGTATTTGTGGTGTACAAAATAAAATAAAATGTTTATGAAGAAATAATGATCAGAGAATTTGTATAAGATATGAACGATGGAGATAAATTGCAGTTTTTTAAGCAATATGGATCCAACACACACGAAGTTTAAAAAGCCAAAAGTTCCTTATCATTTTAGGGAAGGACTTTCACGTCATAAAAACAAATACAAGGAAGTCGAAACAACAATTAGCGTGCTATTTTAATAGACTATCTAGACGATTTCTTTACAAAATACGTCTATCTCTGTCGTAACCTGTTGAAAGCACATAAAATCATTAATTTATTAATTCTGTAAAATTTAATAACTATATTAAATACGTAATAACTGTAATTTAACAAATGTATTAATACGTATTTAATAACTGTAAAATTTAATGTCATAATTAGTATTACGCGTGTTGGATCCAAACTTTAAAATCTACAAGGAGGCTTTTCGTGGATTGACTTTTTTTTAGCGTAAGTCGGTCCAAACGTATATACTGCTCATATAGCCAAGTTGACTAAGTGCAATAGTTTAAAGCTAATAGAAAACTATAGGAATGAATGAAGTCAACATGAAGTCAGGTGACTTAGCTTTTTTTTTATACGAGAGGGGCCAAACGAGCACGCGGTTCACCTGTTGGTAAGTGACTATCGCCGCCCATGAACAACTGCAACATCAGGGAAATTGCAAATGCGTTGTCGGCCTTTTAAAAAGGTGTAGGCTCTTTTCTTGAAGGTCTCTAAGTCGTATCGGTCCGGAAAAATCGTTGGTGGTAAACAATTCCACAAGATGGTATGGATCAATTCAATAAATTTTTGTATTTATATTTATATGTAATCCTAGTAAGGTAGATTACGTTAATGGATAAATACAAAAACTTTATAACAAGATTTTCTATAATACTACTAATTGGCCTTTGCATAAATCCAAAGCGCTTGTAGAAGGCACTCTTATGATCTATTTTGGATCCTATTTGTGAAAGTGAGTTTAAACTGAGATTTGTCTCATCTGTTGGGATGTGTATTATGTGGTGTGGGTCCTGGCTGAGTATTAGCGTTGACAATCAGAAAGTCAACACGGCTAGTTCAGCAGGGGTGAATGTGGACAATATGAAGTGTGTGTGTGTGTGTGTGTGTGTGTGTGTGTGTGTGTGTGTGTGTGTGTGTGTGTGTGTTGTGTGTTGTGTTGTGTGTGCGGCGGTGTGTGCGGTGTAGTGTGTGGCGGTGCACTCGCCCTGGCTGAGCTTGGCGGGCGCGTCGAGCAGCACGGTGTTGAGCCAGCAGTGCGCGCCGGGCGCCGGCAGCAGCGTGGCCACGCCGTCGCGCAGCGCCACGCGGCAGTGCAGCGGCAGCACGCCCGCGCCGCTCAGCACGATGTCCGGCGTCGGCACCAGCTCCGCGCTGCCGATCACCGTCTCGCCCTCCTGCCGACACCGTGCCACAACCACTTCACTCTCACTGCTATACACTCCTACTGTCCTCTGGTCCCCTCATCACGTGGTGGCTATATATCCTAGGTATCCAACTAGAGCTTACGCTACAGCTATAACACGACGTCGATCACTGTCTCACCCTCCCGCCACACTGCACCACACATCCTTCACTACTTTCCATACCTCCCGACGTCCCCTGGTCCCCTAGTATCCTCGTGTCAAATGCAGACACCTACCAACCCTTCACTCTCCCTGATATACCTCCTGGCGTCCCCTGCTCCCCTGGTGTCCACGCTATTTTAGGCCCGCCACATACATACGGAATTCCGTTTCGGGATTCCGTTTCCGATTCCGTTTCGATATTCCGATTCGGGATTCCGAACGCAGCAAGTCCATATAAAAATCTATGACCCGTCATACACGTAGGGTAGTTTTCGCTTCAAAATTTTGTAGGCTAAACGGGATTCTGTATGTGTGTGGCGACCCGCTCGGAATTCCGAAACCGAATCCCGAAACGGAATTCCGTATGTATGTGGCGGGCATAAGACGTGCTTTGAGACACGCTAACTATAGCACGATGTTAATCAGAACAGTTTCATTCTCCTGCCGACACCACGCCGACACCACACCGACTACCCTTCACTATCCCTGATATGCCTCCTGACGTCCCCTGCTCCCCTGGTGTACACGCTGTTTAAGATGTGCATAGAGCCACAATAAAACTAGCACGATGTCAATCACAACAGTTTCGCTCTCCTGCCGTCACCGCACCAACGACCCTTCACTATCCCTGCTATACCTCCTGGCTTCCTCTGGTCCCCTCGTGCATATCAAAGATTTGTAATGTATCTTACTAGACCGGCAATTCAGAACAGAAACCGTATAAACCGGGTGTGGTTTCGTAAGCGCGGACAGGTAACCGGTACGATAAATATACCATGCAGTTGTATTTTCATTTAAGAAAGTTAATGTTTTTAGGCAAATATGAAATAAATTTACATTACAAAGTGCGCACATAAATAATAACAGCGTTTTCTTAGTTACATTAAACAAAATCAGTGTTGGATTGTCAAATACAACGTTCGAGGTTTACAAAACAAAAAACCGTCATCTAGTCATCTTCGCCGTTCGCAGTCGACTAAATAAGTTACGGAGAAATGACCGTAACATAGTACGCAATGTGTTAGTACAGTAGTGCTAGTCTAGTACATACGTAGAAGTCTGATGTTCAACATGTTTTATACGTGCTACAACTATAACCACCTACACAGCTTATAGCCCGATATCCGACGTCGGAGTCAGCTCCACGCTGCCGATCAGCTTCTCGCCCTACTGCCGACACTGCAATACCGACCCTTCACTCTCACTGCTATGCTCTCCTAGTATCTCCTGATGGTTATATACATATATTCCTGACTGACTCGTTAGTCTTGTGGGTGTAGAAAGTGTGACTGCTGATCAAGAGGTCCCGGGTTCAAATTCCGGAACGGGTCAAAAAATCTGTTATTTACTTTTTCCATTAGGAAATTCTCAGTAGCTGCCCAGTCAGGAAGTTGGCGGTGTCTCACCACCGTGCCTCAGAAAGCAAGGGAAGTCTAGTCTCGCTAGTCTCGCTAGTCCTGCACCTGATCTACCTCCGATCGTGTGTCGGTTTACCGTCCCATTGGATTATGAGAGTGAGGGAATAGAGAGTGCACCTGTGCTTGCGCATACACTCGTGCGCCTATGGCTAGCCTCCTTTGAGGAATTTAGGACAGTATTAGTATATAATATATTCCTGGTGTCGTCCAACATGTTTTATACAGGCTAGAGTCTCGATATAGCTTAGCAAAGATGGCGTTATACCGTTTCTTTCGAAACTCATGGTACCTAATGGGGATAGGTTCTCTAACACTCGGTACAACAGAAATAAATAGATAATATTTTTTGTAACAAATTAAAAGTTTTAATCCATTCAATAAAACTAATTTTACGGATTTTAACGTGTTTAATTTTAACTTTCTTTATTTCCGGCCTTTCAGACATCAGAAAACGCTGTAGTTTTAATCATCAAGATAAAGATAAATGAGTATCAGTATACTTTCCAATACTGTGTTGCAGTAAAGACATATTAAATTGGTTTCAGAGCCAAATATCCTCAATGTTACTTTCAGGTTTAGTCAGTAAACCTAAATAAGCACTAACCTTGAGATGATACAGAGTAACCCCAGTCGACAACAGGTTGTCGTCGATGCCCACGAGGTGTGGCATATCGGAGTCCAGTACCACACCAAGGCCGCTCTTCCGAAGTCCGAGCGCTTTCTGTTCTTGAAGGATCTGTTGCGTCTCGCGCCATTTCTCCGTCCACTTCTCTGTCAGGACCTTCTCCTGTGCCTCCTTGCGCTGAAGCGTAGCCAGCACACCTGCCTCTGCCTCCACAGGATTCTATAAAAATGCAAATTCAACTAACAAGAGTGGCTTACATAAATAAATGGTACGTAATATTGCATTTTTTATAGGAGAGGTGGCAAACGAGCATGCGGCTCACCTGATGGTAAGTGACTACCGCCGCCCATAAATAGCAGCAACACCAGGGGAATAGCAGATGCGTTGCTGACCTCTTAAAAAGGAGTAAGCTCTTTTCTTGAAGGTCCCTGGTCCGGAAAAATCAGTGGTGGTAATCGATTCCACAAGGAAGTTGTGCGAGGAAGAAAATTTCTTCTAAATCGCACAGTGGTGGACCACCACTTATCCAGATGGTATGGATGGTATCGCGAGATTTGTCGCTATATGCGATGGTGGAATTGTGCGGCTGGAATCAGTCCAAACAATTCCTCAGAGCACTCCCCGTGGTAGATGCGATAAAATACGCAAAGAAATTCTCTACGCAGTGCCAGTGAGTCAAGCCGATCGGAAAGAACTCTATCGTCGACGATTCGAACCGCTTGCGCTGGATGCGGTCAAATGGAAGGAGCTGGCACTGGGGAGCCCCTAACCAGAGATGGGAACTTGTAAAATTGCAAGCGGTGTGCCGGCATGAAATACTGTCCCGATCTGCTGAGCACGCCAAGCTTTTTAGAGGCCAATTTGGCCTTCTCTTCCAAGTGACCACGAAACTGCACATCACTCGATATGTCGACACCGAGGATTCCGATACTGACTGAGGCAACAAGGGCAGAGCCTTGAAACTGAGAAGATACGACAAAGGGGTTCTTTTTAGTAGTAAACGTGCAAACTTGTGTCTTCTGGAGATTGAACTGGACTAGATTAAGTCGCTCCCAGTCCGAGATTTTGTTCAACAAAGTCTCGACTTCAGACACATGTTGGTTCCGATACTTGGCAACGTTTTCACGAAAAATATTGGCACGACCGGTGTATATAGCATCACCAGTGCTATCATCCGCATAGCAATAAATATTATCGGTTTGCAACATGTCATTGATATGCAGAAGAAACAGCATTGGTGATAGCACGCATCCTTGTGGGACACCAGCGTTAATAGGCTTGTAATCGGAGCATGCACCGTCTACTACGACCTTGATGCTCCGATCAGCCAGAAAACTGGTGATCCAATTGCACAATTTCTCGGGAAGCCCATAGGAAGGAAGCTTCGGAAGAAGCGCTTTGTACCAGACCCGATCGAAGGCCTTCGCTATGTCCAAATTTATTAGTTGGCTATTGCCAATACCTCCCCCTTGGACTCGATCGCCTGCGCCCATCTATGTGTTAGGTAAACAAGAACATCACTAATCAGCTAGTAATTCTCAAGGTATCGCACGAGCACGAGACAAAAGGGGTTCCGAAAAAATACTAATATCAATGTGGCACTGTATGACTTACTAGCTAATATTATGACATCTGTAGATAAGAGAAATCCAGTCTGTGCCATTTATACTGACATGACCAAGGCTTTTGATTATGTGGACCACAAGATCTTGTTAAACAAATTACATGGTTATGGTATAAGAGGAAATATTCTTCAGCTCTTAGAATCGTACCTAAGTAATAGAATCCAATGCACAGAAATTTCTAGAATATGTCCAAAGAGTAAATTAGAAAATACATATTTATCGAAACCAAGGCACATCAAATACGGGGTTCCACAAGGTAGCGTACTAGGGCCACTACTCTTTTTAATATATATAAACGATCTACCAAAAATAACGTCACACAAAATGGTTCTCTTTGCAGATGACAGTACAGCTATAATAAAGTGTGCAAATGAAATTAATTATGAAAGTGATATAAATACCTGTTTACGCGAAATTATAGAGTGGCTTAATAATAATAATTTAAAAATAAATTTAAATAAAACAAAAGTTATGCACTTCCATCAACGCCGTGAAAACCCAAACATTAACATTTCCTACCAAGGCTTTAATATGGAAGAAGCAAATATGGCGAAGTTTTTAGGTATAGTGATTGATAATCATCTCACTTGGAAGCCTCATGTTGAGGATCTATGCAAACGACTCAGCAAATCCGCATATGCGCTTTCTCAACTTTCAAAAAAGGTTAACAGCCAGGCTCTTTTGATAGCATACCATGGACTAGTTGCTTCCGCTTTACGATATGGCATCATTTTCTGGGGACAGTCTTCTGATAGGGAGCTTGTATTTAGGATGCAAAAACGATGTGTAAGATCAATGTGTGGTCTCAAAGTAACAGTTAGCTGTTTTCCTTATTTTAAATACTTAAAAATCCTAACACTGCCGTCATTGTATATACTGGAAACAGCTATTTTTGTAAAAAAGCATCCATTTCTTTTCCAAAAAATATCTGATATTAGAAAGAATCCAATACGTACCCACTACATAAATAGGTTATGTTACATAAAATGTAAAACATCATTAATGAAAAAAAGCTTCTTTGGTATTGCCCCACAAATTTATAATAAACTACCTGATTCAATAAAAAATATGACCTTATTTAAATTTAAAAAGGTGCTGAATGACTTATTAATAAACAAATGTTACTATAAAATTGATGAGTTCTTGAATGACAATTTTGACTAGTAATTTTTATCGAATATTATCATTTTTTGTTATTGTAATCAATTTAATTTTATAAATGTAGAATTTTCATTAGTATGCCAATTTCAATTATTTCTATTCTATTTTATGTTATGGCATGATTTTTCAAAAGAACACTCAATTATATTTGTATGTCTTTAAGACAAAACATTTATTGTATTTGCACACCTCATAAGGTAATAATACAATGTACATATTATAATTTTCTGTAACACCTTTTATACCTGTATTATGCAAATAAATGAATTTGAAAATTTGAAAATTTGAAATTTGAGCTGGTAGTTAATAATAGTTTCCATTACTTTGGAGAACAAGGAGGCGATAGCGATAGGCCTGTAGTTGGACGGATCTGAGCGGTCGCCTGAGCATCATTGACGGAGACATGATATCCGTCCGGATGAGAGGTCAGCAGAAGGTCCAACAAGAAAGATACATGATCCTCCACATCTGATATCCGCGTAGGCGAAGTAACCAGTTGTGTCAGACCATATGCAAAGGCAGTCATAAACAGATCTACCCACATGATCGGTTAAACGGGAACCAAGCCATTCAGCGTGGTGGAAGTAAAAATCACCGAGTATCACGATCTCTGCGGATGGGACCTGTTGTAGCACGGAGTCTGCAGCCATTTGGACGTGGTCGACGTGTCGGTATTACCGCTATGGGATCTATAGAGGCACCCGTAATCGCGGGGATGGTCGACCTTCAAAACTGCTGAGACGTCGAAGACAGAAATTGAGTTGATATTAAAAACTACTTTATAATAAAAAGTTTAAAGCAAAAACTTGTGTTTTAAACTTGTAAGAGCCACGCTGTAGCTATATTATAGTAGTAAATATTATAGTCAGTTCGACCCACATAGACCACAATCTTACAGAATACAAGCTTAATTGTGTTTTGTATATTGAGTGTAAAGAACCGGAGAACCTTTTTTTTAATAGAATAAGGGTGACAAACGAGCACACAGTCCACCTGATGGTAACATTTATCTTCGGTTCAGAATCAAAATGCGTTGTCACCTCTGAAGACTGAGATGGAATGCGTCTTTTCCAGTAATAAGGGTCTCCGGTTCTTTGAACTCACAATAAAACACAGCAACATTAAGCTGCTATTTTACACAGGTATTCTGTGAAAGCGTGGTCCTTCTTCGGTCGAGCCGGCGCATTCGTGCTACAACGATAATATAGGTGCAGCGTGGCTCTAGCACATATAACGTAGCCATTATGCTACTGTGGATAAGTAAGTACTGTGTGAGCAACTCACGGTGTTGTGTGCGATCTGTGCGCGCAGCTTGTCGATCTCGTCGCGCAGCTCTCGTATGAGCTTGACGTTGGGGTCCTCGTTGATGGTGGGCTTGTTGATGATGTTCTTCGCACGGTTCGCGTACCGGAGCGTGGACAGCGTCTCGCCGTAGTTGCAGTCAGCTGGCGATATCTGGAACAGTGAAAAGTTAATCCTAAATAAAATCTTACATTTCAATTTTATATATTATAACATTCGTCTTGGCTTGGGTAGGACGACTGGTCAAATCCCCTATGCACATAATTCCGTAGTCACATTAATAAATATTTATTATAGAAGTCGATTTATAAATCACAAATTTCACAACAACTCATGAATCCACGTTTTAAAAAAATCAAGTAGCAATTAAGCTAAGCCAACTATTTCTTATGTTTACACGAATAGTAAACAAAACATCGGGAATTAAGGTAAGTTAAATAAAACGCATAAAATCCACAGAGTAATTTTATTAAACGCTTCAAAATTAGTTACAGCATACGCTATTTGTGAATTATCTAGACTGGTAAAGAGGAGGAGCGTCAAAACTGGCCTGTCAACGGAAGCTGAAAAGGAGCCTCTTATGGAATAAACTCATATTCAGCATTTTTGCAAGTCTGTCGCAAGAGGCGACAGAGCGTAACTGAAACAAGAGATCGACAGCAGCGTCATTCTGATAATAGTATTAGTAATAGTAATTATTTTTTTTTACGTCCCGCTGGGTTTCTTGTTGGTTCTTCCCAGGACAGAGGTTTTTTTTTTCAAACCACTGGTAAAGTGAAAAATAACTTTCAATAAGAATTACACATTTAATGTATATTGAATAAAAATTATTCTATTCTATTCTATAGAGAAATAAAATAAAAAAAAACTGCGAAGGCAAGGATGTAAATTACACACACTATCCTTTATCAATTATAAATAAGAAGAAACGAATGCTTTATTCATAATCAGCATCATTGCAGCACCTCACAGTCCACTGTTGAACACAGGCCTCCTCCAAGAATGCCTATAGCATGGTTTTGAATGACCTGCATCCATCGACTTCCTGCATGTGTCACAAAGTCGACACTCCATCTTGTAGTAGGCCTCGCTCAAAGAATGCCACAAAACACGGTCCTGAGTCACCTGCATCCATCGACTTCCTGCGTCTCTTACCAGGTCTCGAAATCCATTTAATGGAGGGGGGGGCTACACTTCGCTTATCAGTACAAGTTTGCCACACATTTCCACATTTTGCTGATTCGTTGGGCTATGATGGTTACTATAGATTTACTGCTCCTAATTTACGGTGTTACCAACGTTAAAATAGTTAATAGTAACTGTAAATACAAACCGCTGCAATCATGATTGTCTTCGAATTTCCACCTAACGAGTCCTTGAGGAGCCACGTCAACACGGAGTCCCGGTACGGGATGAACACGTTCTTTTTGCCCTTAGGCGTCCGATCTAAAAGAAATGGGTTACATGATAAATAAAAGAACTCCATCGAAACCAATATATTATTGGATAAATTAAAAAATATTTTTGTGCCTGAATAGAATAGAATAGAATATAATAGAGTCATTTTTATTCAATATAGATTATAGTACATAATACTTATTGAAAGTCATTTGTTACTATTACCACTGGTTCACTAAAAAAAACTGTCCTGGGAAGAACCAGCAAGAACCTTATTTTTTAAAGCACAATTTACAAGAATTTAAAATTACAATTATTATGAAAACATTTAGAAACAGCATGGTAGTGATCAGCTCGTTCCCAGGCGTTATTATTAGTCATGTACTCTTAGTAGTTAATAATCCTTACTAGACAATTTTTGCTTAATAGATAAATAATTTAAACCTTTTGATAGAAAAGGTCTGCATATTTTCCGGGACTTTGTTGTAAAAGTGTATACATTGCTCCAAGAAGGAATTACTGACCCTTTGAAGTCGAGTAACTGCTATAACTAACTTGTGCTTGTGTGTATGTATGTATGCATGAGTACTCGCGTGCATGTTCTTACGATAATTTAACTATATTTTATTATATGTAATGATAACCATATAATGCCAAGGACATAAAGTTGAATCACCATTCACCATCAGGTGAGATAGTCGTCAAGCACTGACTTGAGATAATAACAAAAAAATTGTAGCATTGGATGTATTGAGATATTTTATTTTATTTTAAAGATACAATATTTATCATATAACCTAACTGAGTCCTGTAATTCGCACGTGGATATTATATAATGAATGCCTTACCAACTTTGAAGATACAATATTTTGTGTGATACAATAGTTTAGTAGTTAGATGAATAGAATAGTTTGTGTAAGAACTGACTGTCTGCCTGCTGGCTGGAGTCTGCGAGAGCGGAGATGACAGATCCGAGCGTCACCAGCGACTTGTTGATGTGCGCGCCCTCCACCAGCCTCTGTCCAGTTGCGCCCGTAGCGTCCGCTCGTTCGCTGCGATCATTCAATATACCGTTACAGTAAAAAAAAACCACTGCTGAACATAGTGTGTGCCAACGTTTTCGGAAGTAGCAGCTCACCTGCCGGCGAGGTCGACGAGGTGCACTTTGGATAGCGTCTCGCTGGGCAGGTTGTTGTGGCGCGTGTAGCCGGCGCGCACAAACGTCAGCGTGAAGATCGCGTGCGAGCGGGACGACACGTCGTTCATCTGTGTCGACGCGGTCGTGCGCTGCTGGTTGCCGCGCTGCATGCACTCCTGGAAGATAGACAATAGTCAAATTTATGTTTAGCAGAGTTGGTGGTTTGCGAAGATTGTAATTTTTGTGGCAGTCCTAAACGTGGTCACTGACTGCAGACGCTTACATACAGCGCGAAGTTTGCAGTTGGTGACCAGGTTTGTGATTCAAAACCATCAGTTTTCATAGATCACAAATCCTCGAAAAGAAAAGAATACTGATTTCTTTCAACAATGCTTTGCGAGGCTATTGAAATTTAAAAAAAGTTGGATATAATTGATAAAGTTAAATCAAAACTTAAGCTTGAAGCCCAAGTTAAGGGCTTAAATGTTCAGTGAGTTCTATAGAGGTGAGTGTATATGTGTGCGTGAGTATGTGTTCTAACAATAATTTGAGCATGGTTTCAGTATCACTTGAAATGTAACTAGTGTTCTATCTTTTTTTGTTGTTCTGACGGTCCAATATGAAGATATATTAAAATGGCTTGAATAATTCGTTAACGTAGACAATTTAAAAAAAATATATTTTTGAAGTGATAACTTCTTTAGAATCGTTGTGATTTGAAATTCGATGCAAGGAAAAAGCGACACTAAAAGGAGACAAACATTTATATTTATAGGATTTAGCCTGCGAGAGAGTGAGATAGAATACAATGTACAGTGTTTCTTATTATCTCGGTTTCAATAAATTAATAATAAAAATAAATGAATTAATAAAACATTTTTATTAATCTTCTATATAAATTAAATGATAGAGATTTGTAGTTTGTGCGCGCAACACAAAAAAACTAGTAGATAGATTTCAATTAAGTTTTCTAAGTTTATTTTTAGACACTTGGCCATAATGTAAAATTATTGCGATATCTTAATTTAATATAAAGTTATTAAAGTTTTAAGAAACAACGATTTTTATAAGTACTACGTGTTCAGTGATGTGTGTTTTCTTTCCGCGGAGAAGAGGGGCAAGCGGTGTAGCGCGCATGCATAGGAGAGGGGAAGTCTCTTCTACCTCATTATAAAGTTAGGGCCAGCCGCGCATTATTTGCGAGAGCGATCTGATGCTGATGGTGTTTCGATATATTTTTTTTGTTCTGTTTTTTTTTTAAACGTTTACACCACACTAAGATTTTCTCATGTATCGTGGAGGCAGTTTACAAACACAAATTACACGAGGACAAACATCCAGACTCGGAACAATTATTTGTAGGCCATACAAATACTTGTTCCGTGAGGGATTCGAACCCGCAGCACCCCGCGCAACAACTCATTGCTAAGACGCTAAGCCACTGCGCCACGGAGTAAAAAATAAATAAGGTTTAGCTTCTACCGCGTGTGCACTACGTACGTGTTTACTTTTTATATTTACAAATGTATAAAAACACCTACCTGAATATCATCATAATCAGATACTAAATGGCGCGACAAATCCTGCACATAAGGTCCAAGTTTTGGGTGTTCTCTGACCCTCAGCGAGTGGCCAGAGTCTCCACTGAGCAAGTCCTTAACGCGCTCGTTGTAGATCTCCAGGTAGCTGACCTCCGTGCGGTAAGAGGAGCCAGATTCCTTACCGGCAGCCATGCGAGAGAACAGCTGCCGGCAAATGCGTGGTATCAGACCTTGGCACTCCTGGAAAGATGACAAAGATTATACTAACATTGAGCGCAAATGCTTGAATATACAAATCGTCTAAACCAGGGGTTCGCAAATATTTTCAGTTGGAGGCATAAAAGTAAATACTCCTGAAATGAAGTAAAAACATGTTTCGAAACGTGAAAGGGATTAATGGTGGAGTGATCATCTTTCCACTAATTGAAACTTAATTCTACTGAACCACCAGAAAAAACATTAGCCACTTTAATCATTATTTCGCCACTAGAAGGGTAGTCGAAACCATCAGTTTTAATGGAAAATTCACTAAGTTGGCAACATTAGACAACACTGAGTATCAGCACGCGCCGCACTATATGACTTCATCAGCATGCCTCCTTCAATATTCGTATACCTACCGCATTTTAAAAATGCTGCGTGTACGGTGCAGGTGAAATGTGCGAGGTTTCATATGATTTCATACAAATAATTCTAAAATGCAGCGCGTACGGCGCGAATGGCGCTGATAAATGTGCGTTCACCTTTAGTATTTTGTCTAGGCGCTCTAGATAGTCGAATTAGGGTACAATGATACTAGGTAGATAGGCACAAAAATTATAACATCCGCAAAGTGACGCTGAGTATTTATATTGACAATAGATTATATAAATATATTTATTATTTAAGAAAAATGGGAAATAAAATACAATGATAACTTATTCAATGCGACGTATGAGCTGGACGATCTCCACACACTTTTTCCAATCATATAAGATAAGGTTTGACACCACCACTCTCATTTCTTGCTCCACATTGGTCTTTGAGCGATATTTTCTTTTTATTACAGCTACAACTGAAAATTCAGTCTATTTTGTACCCGTGAATAAATAAGTTTAGTTTCCAGGCAATGGTAAACAGGTGCGCCTCACGGTGAACCAGAGCGCGAGGGCCGCGGAGCACTCTTTGGCAACCCCTGGGCTAAACAATTGTCAAATCAGTTTTTTTTTTTATTCAAGATTAATCTGTACAAAGCAATAACAATCAAGAAAGCTACGCTATTGCTTCAACTGGTCCCTACTGCGTGGGACGTATTGAAGAAGCGGCAAGAATCTCTTGGGACCACATGAGAAGCACCAGCATTCAAATAAAAATCATCAAAATCAGTTCACCTTGAAAAAAGTTATGAGGTAACACACATAAAAAATACAGTCGAATTGAGTACCGGCTCCTTTTTGAAGAAGTTTAAAATAGGGGACGAAGTATTTAATAGATACTGATTAGACGCCTTTACACTTATTTAAGGCGTATGTAAGGTACTATCGTCAATTTCGGTACTTTTTAATTTTTAAATTGTTTTCATTCCGTGTTTTTAAAACCGTTAAAAATTTATATAAACATGAATGACGTGCTGGATTTAGGAGATATGAACATGCTAGAGACCACTCGGAGACCTGATAGACATCGTCATCGTGTGAATCCGTTAGAAATGAGTGACCAACATTTTAGGTATAAGAATAGGTTCTCAAAACGTTACGGATAAGAAATAGTGGGTGTTTTAAGTTCAGCGGTGAGGATTTAGCACGACCCTTAACGATGCCTAATGAGTCCTAAAATTCAAGTGGTTTGTGCATTACGCAATTAGACTCACCATGAAGGAAGTGCTATTTATAACCTTGGTCAATGTACCTAACATAACGCTAGATAAAACGCCAAAAAATACATATTAGTGTTTTATTAGTAAATCCAAGACGATACACCTGATTTACATGGCGTGTCTCAACCAGTAATCAGTAGGACGTAAAAAAGTAGCGGAAATTTTTTCACGGATGTCCCGAGAATTTATTAAAACTACTACTTTAAACGAACAGCAGGAAAACATTAGGAAATTTCGCATTATTGCTAATTATCCTACAGTAATTGGCGCAATTGACTGCACTCACATAGGAGTAAAGAAAGTAAATGCTGATGGAGGTCAGTTATATATATTAATAGAAAAGGATTTTCTTCACTTAATGTACAGGTAATATACAAACATTTTAAATAAGCTATGATTGTCTCTTAATTACTTTACCAAAATATAAAATAATTTGACTATCTGGCAATCAATGTATATTAAAATATTTATTATTTTTATATTACCTTATTTAAATTGCTGCTAATCCTTGAAATGTTATTTATACAGGCAATTTCTAGTATAATTTATAACAATGTAATTAAATGATTTCCTCTTTAAGACTGTCATAGATAAGGAAGAGCGGGGACTTCTGACCGGTTTTCTTTTAAACTTACTAAGAGCACCCATCTATTATATATATATATATTGCTTAAGTTTGTAATTTTAAAGAAATAAAGCATTTAGTATCATTACTATAAAATATTAATATAATAATAATTTGTTCCCTTTTAACAATATTGTTTAAGAGTTGTGTGCTTTTTTGGTGCACAATAACATATATCAGAAAAATATAAAGTACTAATGGGCCCTCACTTTTCAGTTGGTTTGTGATGCTGACCTGAAAATCATGGACATTGTTATCAGGTGGCGTTGCAATGTACATGACTCCAGAATATTCCATGAATGTAGACTAAAACAGAGGTTTGAGGCTGGCGCATTCTCGAGAATATTACTCGGTGACAATGGCTATCCTTGTACTCCATATCCGTACCAGGAACACTGTGGAAAGATGTTTTGGTTTGTTGAACCAAAGGTTTTGTTGTTTATTCAGAAGTATGTTTGGGGATATTGTAACAGCAAAAGAAAAACCAATCTTCATCAGAACCTATAGTACAAAGACATATTCCACCATCAATGAGATAAGGATAAGACTGTTTATTGAAACTCTTTTTCAGTAGTTAAATATTTTTATTTACAATTTTTAAATAATTATTGTAATTATTAATGAAAAATTAACAAATATTTGCAACAATTATGTACCTGAAAAGAATAATTTCGTATATCAGGATATTTACAAACATGTATCTGATATTGTCTTGAACATTTAGTTTTTTTCAAAAAGCAGATGAATGCATCACCTGTGAGGACTAAGATGGAATCTCTCGTTTCCAGTTAAAGAGGTCCCCAGTTCTCTACACATCATACGAAACACACAGCGTTAAGCCGCTATTATAAGTAAGTATTCTGTGAGAGCGTGGTCCTCCTCGATCGAGCTGACTCGTTCGTGTTACAACTATGCTGCAGTATGGTTCTCCAAGGTCACACTGAAATGATCGGGGATAAGAAAAACCACATGCACGGTATAGCTAAATTGTATTTTATTGTTTTTCGAAGTATTCTCCGTTCAACTTAATACACTTTTCCATTCGTGCAAACCAATCATTAAAACAGTAATTCCAGTCTGAAGTTGATGTTGACAAAATGGCTGATTTGTACGCTTCCACAGCTGTTTCGGGGTCTTCAATCCGTTGACCGCGTAATAAATCTTTCATTCTAGGGAATGTAAAGAAATCGTTTGGGCTCAGGTCAGGACTGTACGGAGGATGGCTCATCAGCTCAACGTTTTCCCGCTTCAAAAAATAATTTGTCTTACGAGCCGAATGGGAGCTCGCATTATCGTGATGTAAGATGATGCGACAATGCGAGTTATTTTTTCGGAGTTCGGCTATCATTTCTGGCAAACAAACCGTGATATACCACTCAGCGGTAACCGTTCTGCGTTCCTGTAAAGGAATTGTAGTAACATGCCCCTTTTTCGAAACAAACGTAGCGACCATTTTCTTTGACACACTGCGGGAGCGAACCACTTTCTTTGGTTTGACCTCGTCTTCGAAGACTCAAACTGCTGACTGATGTTTTCTTTCAGGCTCGTATGAATAAATACATGATTCGTCACCTGAGACGATATTATATACGGCATTTGACTTCCCTCCGTTGAAGCGTTGCAGAGTATTCCGGCACTAATCTACACGAGCCGCCTTGTGTTCTTCGGACAAATTGTGGGGAAACCAGCGGGAAACTAGCTTTCTTACACACAGCTCATAATGTAATATCGAATGAATTGCAGTCATTCCGATACTGATAACAGCCCGAATCTGCTCGCATGTCACATGACGGTCATCTAATATAATAGTTCGCACAGCTGCGATGTTTTCAGGCGTGACCGCTATTCTTGGTCGACCTGCAGAAGAAACAGCGCTGAGCGACACACGACCGCGTCGGAACTCTGCATACCAGCAGTATATTGTCGTTTGACTCGGTGCTTCAACATCATAAATCGAAACAAGTTCGCTGAGACATTTATCTTGAGATAAGCCGCGACGAAAATTGTGATAAATTATGGCACGGAAATGTTCACGCGTGAGCTCCATTTCTGTTAAGGACGTGTCAACTTTAACCCAACATAGTTTTTGTTTTAAGACATTTTTTTAATTGTTTGAATGTCATTGAGATTCTAAGAGGCCAGTATTCAAACTCTAAAAAAGGTTTTATTGTAACTCAATCCGAAATATTCTATTCTCGATCATTTCAGTGTGCCCCTCGTACCACATATAAATATAGTTATTATTTTATTTAAAATTAACAAGCACATAACTTACTACAGTAACCTACAGGACTCTGTATAGCAGTGAATTACTGTAGTAAGGTGAAATTATATCTACTATCATTTATATATAAGCTTATTTTACTGTACTGTAAGGTACAGAATAATCTACTTCTATTGTGTCCACAGAAAAAGTCTACTTATATTTTATTCTTCAGTACTGGTGTTTTTCTAACTTTCTAATAAACCTATTTCTAATTCTTATCTTTTAATTTTTAATTTGGCCATTTTAATGTTGTATCTATGCTCCACTTCCAGCATTTCTAGTTGCCTTTTTTTAAAACTGTTTTGCTTTCTACGATTGATTTGGTATATACATGTATCTGTAAAATGAAATGAAATACTTAATGTAAGTTATTTTATTTTAGACATGTACAAAGTAATATAGAGTAATAAAAGTATGTAGTAAGGGAAATAAACCAAAAGCAAAAGAAATATTTTTATAATTATTTTTCGGTCATTTCATATTAAACTTTGCTTTTTAATATTCGAAAACATGAAACATTTTTCAGTGTTTAATTAAATACTAACTTTAAAATGTGGAAAAGTATGTGATGTATTGGAATGTGTAATTATTTTAACATACCTTTTGCAGTTTGCAAGTTCATTTTCCTGTTTTTAAATTTTTGTTATGCCACTTGTGTTATCAGTTTCATTTTCGATTATTTTTACCATTTTGTCACTATCTGTTTGTAGTTGGATCGTTGAATCTCTCTAAAAATTAATACAAATAAAAAGGTTTTAGAAAATTAGACATGTACAAACTTGTGTACATATGACTGTAACTATAATAATAAATTTTGCTCTTTAATGAATATTCAATGACTATTATTTACCTTCCAACCCTACAACATTGGCTTCTGGATTTTCTACGTTTTGTAACTATTGCTCTCTGCTTTTTATTTTTCAAAATTAATTAAGTCAGCAAATATTTCTTCTGTAATTGTAGCCACAGTCACTAGATTCTAAAATAAATCACTAAAACATTTATCAACATGTATACCTGTCGTTACCTATATTTGCCTTAATTGAATCAGGTAGCCAGTCTCTCAGTATTCTATAGGATGCATTTCGGTGAGTGTGCGCAGGAATTACACGCTTTAATTCCTCCTTCTCGTTTCCACCATCGGACAACCAGGTGGCCGTCGGGTCTTCATCCCTTTGTTGTCGATATTCCATGCATTAGAACCAAACGGTTTGCTTCGTCTTTTGTAATGCGTACAGCAAAGGAGTGGAATAATTTGCCGGCGTCTATCTTTTCATCCGAATACAATCAGGGCGTATTCAAGGCAAGAGTAAATAGGCATCTGTTACGATAAGACAGTGCGATTTACCATCTAAGGCTACATCACCACTTACCACCAGGTGGGATTGTGGTCAAGCACTGGCTTATAATAAGTAAAAAAAAATGAATTTAAATAACAAGAGCATTTATGTACTTATTATAAACATTTTTGAACGTCTCGAATCACGCGTTCACGGCACCTATGTACTCGTAATTCAATCCACTTCACGCTAGAGTCGTTAAAATTAAAACAACTTGATTATAAAAAGCGCGTCAAAAGTAAAAGTCGTGCTTGTTCAACAAATTTTAACCTAAAGAAATAACAATTTATGATATGTTTTGTATTGTTGATAAATAAATATTTAATGAAACAGAACGTTGCATTAAATGAAACCAGTATGAACGAATGAATGAGTGTCAATTTTTGTTTTTTATTTGTGGATGTTATTTAATCCAGTACTAACTTTGGTAATAACGGATCCTCAGATGGTCTGCGTTTTGTAATAAGCACACATTTTAAAACTGGTATTAACGTTAATCTACATCTACACTTCTACACTTCTACACTACTATTATAAAGAAGAAAGATTTGTTTGTTTGTTTGAATTGAATAGGCTCCGAAACTACTGGACCGATTTCAAAAATTCTTTCACCATTAGAATCCTACATTATCCCTGATGAACATAGGCTATATAATATTTTCAAAAAAGTTAGGGATCCGTATGAAAACTTCGTTAATGTAACCCAAGGGTGTGAAAAAAATACCAAAAAGAATCCTTATATCGCGTATGCTGCGGAAACTATTGATAATAGAGCAAAGTAATGTACTTCAGTTTTATAGAAGATATCAATATCTACAAAAAAGTCTGCGATACTATATGTTTAACTATAACAGTTATGTCACAATAACTACTTTTTCATGTTAAAATGTGAAATAGTAAAGCCGGTACAAAATAGGCCACATTATTTGTATAAGTACCTGTATCATGCATAACCACCAATTACGTTAACCATGTAATTTTAGTAACATATTTCACTTTTTAAATCATTGTTAATTCAGCAACCGTCCGTCGTGATGTCTCTCTCGAAGTTCGCATGTCGCAAGGCTCAGACGCGTGATATACGCGGGTGAAACCGCGGGGCAGAGCTAGTACTATAACAAACCTGGACCTTTAAGTCCTTTAAACCAATACTAAAACATTTTTTGGAATAAGACCAAACATGTTTAAGATCTACCATCTGACAACCCTATACCCGCATTCCATGTAAAAACCGATAAAAATATCATCCGACAACGAGTGGAGACCTAATAAGGCCTTCATGGAAGTATCTCAGTGAAATAACTTGTTGAATTCTAAAGCATAAAACAAACTTAAGCGATTAAGGTCGCTGATCTACGTTAAAAAGAAAACCTGACAAAACTGTCCACTACCTTCGCCGACATCAACATTAAAAAGAAACCATAACAAATTTAGATGTTTTCGCCATTCAAATTATTAAAAAAAAAAACATGCCAGAGCTCCACGACAACAATGAGTCATTAGAAATCTTAACCAAATTTAAATGACTTAATGTTTTTTTTTGTTTACGTCAGATTAGACTAACGTCAGATTATTGTTGAGTCATAGAGATATTAGCGTGGCCTTGTTACACGAGTTAGATAATCGCATATCCATGTCAAGATGAAATACACTGGCCAGGCATAAACTTTCAAAGACTGTAGGAAATAATATAGTGCCACTAATGTATGCACTAAGCACGGAAGCAGAATCTGTCTGTCTGTCTCTCTCTCTCACACTCTCTTTCTTTTTGAGAACTCTACTTCTGTACCCAAGTACTCCGATCGCTAAGTCATATAATAGTCATAGTTATCACCTAAATACAAGGATGTGTGTTTCACCGTGTAGTGGTGATGTAAGAATATCAAAGTCAAAATGATATAGGTAGCACTGGCCAGGCATCAACTTTCAAAGACTGCAGGGGATATTATAGTGCTGCTAATGTATACAGTATAACACGGAAGCAATATCTCTCTGTCTCTTTCTTTCTGAGAACTCTCACTCTAAGTCTTAAAAAAAGAACTCCACTCCATTTGATAGTCATAATTATCACCTGAATACACACGTATGTTCTACTGTGTAGTGGCGATGTAAGAATAATTAATAGAATCAGGCGTTACTTTATATGTATTAAAGTTGGTAAAAATTACCTTTCGCACGCAAGGTTGGTAAAAATTACAATCCGCTCGATAAAATAAAATATTGAAATGTAAGATGTAGCAAATAGTTCAGATTTTATTAAACGCCTTCTTAAAGTTCATCATTATAAGATTCCGTTTTGTAGGTCACTTTTCGTGACGTTGCAATAAAAACCTTGACCTAGACGGCTACAACGCAGGTAGAACAGCTGTGATAAATATCATAATATGATAAACGACATTAGCTTAATCACTTTTACGACGTATCGCATCGATAACTGTATCGGATATAAATTTATAATGAATTTAAAAAATAAAATAAACAGCAAAAGAGACACGGCTACATTCCTGACAGCTAACCTGTGCACTCAACCGTTAATGCTGAGTTCTAAAATGAAAACTGTATGTAGGTATTCATACAGCCGCTGTATCCGACAACTGGGTGCTGTAAAGTACTCCAAACGTCGGGAATATAAAATAAGTTAATATACGCGATAAAATCCGTAAAAACTAGTTTTATTTATATTATCACCATTACTACTAAGTTTATGTTATCAGCATTAATGAAATAATAAAAGAAGGCTTACCCAATGAGCATATAGTCCACATGATAGTCATTGACTGGCCCATTAACACCCACATCTATTCTCAATAAAGAATCAAAATGCAGATACGTTGTCAACCCTGAAGACTAAGATGGAATGCCTCATTTCCAGTAAAAAGGGTCTCCGGTTTCCTACACTCACCATACGAAACAAAGCAGTGTTAAGCTGCTATTTTACGCTGGTATTCTGTGAGAGTGTGCTTCTTCCCCGGTCTAATATAGCTGCAGCGTGGTTCTAACACGTGTGATAATTTTATCAGGAAGATGCCCATCTCCTGTTTCAGTTTCCCTCTGTCGCCTCTTACTTCTCTAACGGGACCATATGGGATAGTGGATATTCTACACCACCACTACACGGTTTCTATTTAAAATTAAAACTTGTACCAGAGTTAGCACTCACCGGGGAGCCCATCATGGTGAAGGTCTTCCCGCTGCCCGTCTGTCCATACGCGAACACACACGCATTGTAGCCCTCGAAGGCGCTGTCAATCACGTCCACACCCAAATCCGAGAACACCTGGAGGAAAGAGTAAGTTATAATTTAAATATATCCCATTTAGGCCAAAACGCGTACCGCTAGTGATACATTTAGGTCTATGGAACACTTTTTTTTCAGTCTGTATAATTCCAATACTGAACACGGATTAGTGTCCCCCCGGACTCATTCCCGTTGTAGAAAGAATTTGCCTTAGGAGCACGCCGAAGGTTGAATTGCCCATACAAACGAAATATATAACATTTATTCGTGGCAGAGCCACGCTGCAACTACGAGGTATTATGGTTGTAATACGAATGGTTCGGCTTGACCGAGGAAGAACTCGGCTTTACCAGCAAGCGTAAAACATAAGTTGAATATAGAGAACCGGAGTACTTTTTTACTGGAGACGAGGCATTCCACCTCAGTCCTCATAGGTGACAACGGACCTGGTTTTTTTTTATAGGATAGGTTGACAAAAGAGCACACAGTCCACCTGATGGTAAGTGGTTGCTGTGGCCCATAGACATATACATCTATCCTCGTTTGCGAATCAAAAGACAGATGCGTTGTCACCCATGGACTAAGATGGAATGCCTCTTTTCCAGTTCTCTACACTCACCATATGAAATGAAACACAGCAGTGTTAAGCTGCTATTTTACGCTGGTATTCTGTGAGAGCGTGGGCCTACCCCGGTCAAGCCGACCTATTCGTGATTCAACTATACTACTAATATAGCCACAGCATGGCTCTACCACGTTTAAAAATTATTTTTGATTATTAATCGAGGATGTGTCCATTGGCCACAGCATCCACTTACCATCAGTTGGACTACGTTTGTTTATCTTCCTTATCTATAAAATTAAAATAAAAAACAATTTTGTAATTCGAAGATATACATCATATTGTGTTATCTAGATTCCTGATAGTTTTTATCCCTTCATGTAAGCAGATTGCATTTTTTACATATTTTCACATCTAAAAGGACGTGTTTTGTCCTTGTTAGTTTTTTATTAAAGTCAACGCTATTTAAAGTATTTTTAACACGCTTTTATTAGCTTCGCGTGGATATACTATGTAACGGAATCTTTTAATGTAATTTTCACCAACATTTAAACGGCCGATTGACTTGAAAATTCGCACTCGTATCAAGTACCGATGACAATACACTAATTTAATAAATTTATCTTAGTATCCTGATCAGGATCATCAGTATAAAAAAAATCAGGATCATTACAGCTCATGAGCAATGCTTGTTATTTAAGTTTTTTAATCTCTGCGGGAAGCCCTAATTATTTTTAAAAATAAATGTAGCCTAAATTACTTCTTATAACATCAGTTATCTGCTAGTGAGTCTCATCAAAATCGGTCCAGCCATTTCGGAGATTAGCCGGAACAAACCGAGAAGACAGACAAAATTTTTAAATATTGTGTTTTTGTTATAAGCACTGTTAAACTTTCATATGCATGTAGTAAAGAGCTGTTATTTTGACATTACAAACAGCCACTTAATTTTTATATATTTGTATAGATTAGAAACGGCATCTATTGTCAATTTTTGTGATAACATGAATTTGTCCATTTTACAGATACATTTTTCCTTCATAACTTTAGATGTAACGTAACATAATTTTAACACAATATATAAGTTAAAGGTTTCGAATAAAAGGTTCTGGATTACGCATACTACTGTCTAAATAAACAAAACATTTTACACCGCTTATAATATATAGGAGAAAACGAGGGTGAAAGTTATAACAACAATGTATCAACTAAGGTTGTCATCTGTTCTACAACATAGAAAATAGTTTATAATGGTAATATAAACACTAAAAGCCTTATTGAAATAACGTTTGAGATAGATAATTTTTAGATAATTTCTAGGTCGCTGTGCGTACCTATGGCACTATCTAATAAAATCAATTAACATTTTGGAACTAAATATTTCTGTTTAATAAAAATTTAAATAAATCTAAATTCTAAAATTACAGCTATATTTAGTAATGTTACTTTGACAATTTTATAGCTTATTCAACGGTATTATAACCCTTTCAGACCCGTGCCGTGACGGTGCTACTTAACGAATATTACAGAACTGATTTGGGGCAAATAACATGCGTAGATTACAAAAAAGGGGTCTTAAAAAATCTGGGAAAATGGGAAAACTGTTTTCCACGATACTCACGATCGTACTATGTCGGGCCCAACTATAGCTACCCTCACGATCGTGAGAGTAATAACAATATTCAAATAAAATTAAAAATTAGGACTAATTATTTATTTTATAATCAATATTAACTTAATTTCTTATTGTTAATAAGTAACAAAAATATAACGCTTCTTTTAACCTCTATTTTTGGAGTAATTAGATACAATAAAAATCTTATTAAGAACTAGGAACAAGGCACACAATCGAGATCATCTGTTTATAATTACTAGAAGGAATAGACATGAGAAAAATATTAAAAAAAATTATTTTTCATTATGGAAAACGTAGAAACAATGCTTATCTTTAGTACTACAAAGATAAACATTGCATTTTGTGCATCTTACTTTTCAACGGCTTGTACAACCTGTCACTCGGCAACAGCGAGGAGCTTTTAGAGAATCACATACGGGCCAATGGTTATATCCATCGAGACGTTTATCTATAGTTGGAATAGGTGCAGGTTGATAGTGGGATGTTGAAGGCATCTTTGCCATTTCTTCGAATTCTTCTCGGGTGCGTTTTCTCGTTGAGCCGCCAAGTAGAAAATCAGATACGCATATTTTAAAGTCCAGAAAATCCATGATGTTAGAGTTCTTGACTTTATTTCTATCACATGATTGGCGATACTCGTACCACGAGTTCACCATGGCCAAGTCAAACAAATGCATTATTAACTTGATTGGCCATTTGCGAGTTTTATGCCATGATCTGTAGACCTCCATCATTTGGTCGCTGACGTCTACACCTCCCATATATTCGTTGTAATTTTTAATCATATCAGGGCAAGTTACTTCGATGTATGATTTTGTAACTTTATCGTAACGCTGGACTTTATGCAATGGCAGGGCTCCAATAGCAGTTGAACAAGTTAATACTGTTTTGGAGTCTTTCCATTTAATGACACAGATATCTTTTTTATTGTTAACAACCTCGTGATAATCACCCCGATTCATTGAAGAGTCTTTGGGAAACTGGTATCCTTTAAATCTATTGGTTATTATTGTTCCAGTGCCTTCAATTCCAAGCGTTAACATCTTCTCAAGTAATGGAATGGTCGTAAAATATCTATCAAAATAGACGAAACTTCCTCTGGGCAGGGTATTTATTAAACGTAAAACTATAGCGGGTCCAAGGCCCAAAGATCTGTCTGAAAGTGGAGTGGTGTCGCCTTGATGGAGCTCAAAATCTAACACTAATCCTTTCGATGATGTCACGACATAATTTTTAAGGCCCACTGGTCTCGGTTTGCCTTTCACAAATTGTCTGACAGGACACTTACCGAGGAATGGCACCATTTGTTCATCTATTGAAAAGTGAGATTGATCTCTAGGTATCTGTAAGCATCTGCCGCTTACAGCATCTATCAGTGACTGGACAAGCCACAGTTTGTTCTGAGTTTGTATTTCAGGTGATACAGATCCCGTATCTACTATGTGTAAGTTTACTCTGAGAAGAAAGAATCTTTCACGAGCCATTGCCTCTGCAATACAAGATAGTCTAAATCGTTGCATCCACACCATCTTGATTCTAGGATATTTAATGCAGCCCAGGATTCCATTAATACCAAAAAACTTTTTAATTTCTGTCGCAGTAACCGGAGGATTAAGTTGTTTGTTAAAACTCGACTGATAATAAACATTCGTGTTAAAAGCAAATAACTCGTAAATTTCTTCAGTAAAGTACCTATCAAAGTATTCACTTGGAGTAAATACTTCCTCCGTCGGCTCCGAGATCAGTGTAGGCATGGGTTTACCGACGAATCGTCTGCGAATCCATTTATTCGACGATGATGGACTTGCTACTGTTGAATTTCTTGCTTCTTGCTCGTCTTCGTTATCCGAGCTAGAATTAGTTAGCTGACCAGGTAGATGCCAATCATTATCGTCGTCAAAGTCCTCGCCCAAATCCGAGTCAGCCAGTTGATCCATTATAGCATCAGGGTCAAAAGCCAAGTTATTTCTATCCATAACGATGTATCAAATAGGCTGAAAAGTAAACAAGAGGGTTTTTAACATAAAATAATTGGTATAAATAATCACTAATCCGACCAACGTTGGGCCCGAACCCTCACGATTGTGACATCTAAAAGTAAAGTCGAAAAAGACAAACTAAAAACGCGAAAGGACGAATAAAAACATAATTTATCGAGAATTTAGCCTTTTTCAAACGAATTATTGCAATAACATTATAGTTTTTACTTACTTTTACGTGACAAACAGGTATGTTTAATTTTGGCGCGTAACACGTGTTTGTTGCTAGGCGGCAAATGGCGACTGAGACAAAATTATTGTAATTTTATTCCACTGCTCTTTGTCATAATAAACCGAACTACACGCACGATCGTGTGACGCTGTCCCCGTCAACTCACGGCTATTGTTTAATTTTATAAAAATTGACAAAGTCACCGTCACAATTGTGAGTACTGGGACCGAAAGGGATAATAAACGATAATTAAAAAATTGTCCATGGTATTAACTGTGTAATCAGTGTAATAGACAATTATTTCACTTTTTAGAAATTTGTCGGAATGTAACGTTTTAAAAGAAGGGCAGGTAACTAAGTTGAACTAACAGTATGTATAACGATTTCTTATATTTACACTGTGTAAATATAAGAAATCGTTATACATACTGTTAGTCCATTTCTCTATGTGATTGTGATACATTCAAAAAAACACCGCTTAAATCTTTCTACATTGCCGAATATCACAATTTTCCTGAGGCACTAACACAAATGCACGAGCTCCCATGTTACTGTGTATATGTACACATAGCGATAAGGCGTGAACGTAGGCATTAGTTCAACGCACACACGTGTAGTGGTTTCGCGCAT